GGGGCTTCCTTGCACTCCCGCCGGCCTTGCAGGTCCACCGCCGGGCCCCTCATGGGGCTCGGCAGTGGAGCTGCAAGGCCGGCAGCGGCGGCCGGGACCATTGGGGGCGGGGGGTGTGGCCTTATGACACACTTCCGGTGATGTCAGGGAGTGTGGCATATGTTAATGAGTTATGCTAATGAGTTCCCCTAGCTCTTTTTCTACAAAACGACCCCTGCATTTGCCCTTTTTATTGCAGTTGCACACTGAGTTGACATCTTCAGTGAATTATCCACCACGACTCCAAGATCTCTCTCCTGGTCAGTTACTGCCAGTTCAGATTCCATCAACGTATATTTATAGTTAGGATTTTTGGCTCCAATGTGCATTACTTCGCACTTGACCCTGTTGAACCTCATTTGCCATGTTGATGCTCACCCACCCGCTGGAGCACCTCACAGTCCTCCCTGGTTCTCATAACCCTGAGCAACAATGCCATCCACAGACTTAGCCACTTCACCGCGATTGTCTGGGAAGAAATATAGGAAGGGCACCTAACCCCTGGGAGCTGCAGTGGCTCAAGTGGTTAAGATGCAGAACTGCAGGCTGTGGAAGGGCAGTAGTTCAGCAGTTCGAGACCCGAGTGTGCTGCATGACAGAGTGAGCTCCCGTCTCTAGTTCCAGCTCCTGCCAACCTAGCAGTTCGAAAGCAAGAAATTGCAGGTAGATAAATAGGTACCACTTCAGTGGGAAGGTAACAGTGTTCCGTGCACCTTGGTGTTTAGTCATGCCGGCCACGTGACCACGGAAATGTCTTCAGACAGCGCTGGCTCTTCAGCTTTGAAACGGAGATGAGCACCGCAACCCTAGAGTCGGATTCGACTGGCTTTCGAGCAAGGGAACCTTTACCTTTACCTAACCCCTTCCTGACCAAATTCATTCTCCTTCAAAGGGTTTCTCCTTCAAACCACTCCCCACCCCAAAGATCGCCAGTACTGACTGTGTTGGCCTTGTGTGGGATGCTGAGGTAAGCTTGGCTGTTTGTCTCATGTACCAACCACCTAGTCTGCTGGCCGTGGAGACTAATAGATTCAATTAGATTCCAGAATGCTCTGTGGGATCCAATGCCTTCCAGCACACCCGTGGAGACTAATAGATTCAACTGGATTCCAGAATGTTCTGTGGGATCCAATGCCTTCCAGCATGCCTGTGGAGACTAATAGATTCAACTGGATTCCAAAATGCTCTGTGGGATCCAATGCCTTCCAGCACCTCATTGGATGAGCTGATAGAGGACTGGAACTCCCGTCTCTCTGAAGCCATCAATGAGGTTGCTTCCTCTGCATTCTCATTGGAGATCATCCCCCTGTATACTACAGAACTTAGGGTGATGAAACGAGAACTCAGATCACTTGAGCGCGTTTGGTGTTGGGTTCGCAACAAAGCTACAAGAGCATCTTATAGGATGCTTATGAAATCCTATGAGGTAGCAGTGAAGACTGTGAAGAGGGAATTTTACTCAGCCTCCATCACAACCGCTAGCTCACGGCTGGCACAATTGTTTAGGGTGATTAGTTCTTTAACATCCCTTATGAAGGGGAGCCAAAATAGTAGAAATTCAGTTATTAGCTGAGGCATTTGTGAGCTTTTTTGCGGATAAAGAGACCTGTCGCTCCACTGTAACACACCTGCCAATATTGATACAGTATGTGAACTGGAGGTCCCTTAGCTGCCTTTGGATTTGGTTTTTGATACCTTCAAACTACTTTCCTCTGCTGCTTCAACATAGTAAGTATGCTGCGGACCAAGGAGAAAGATCTGCAAATAGTATTGCAAAATTCCATTACTCTCAAGGGGGAATCATATGTTCCCGCAGCCCTTAAATTATATAAAGCCAGGACGCTAGCCCAACTGTTATTATGTGGCTCATTTATGGGGCCACCCAGTTCCTATTTTGTTCCTATTTTGCACCTCTAGAAAGAGTTCAGTCTAAGTTCCTAAGAACTATCTTACAGGTCCCTAGATTTGCGTCAAATGCCAGGGTAAGACTGGAGACAGGCTGTTTAAAAGTTGAAGCCAGGGTCCGTATTCTATCAATACATGCCTGGCTAAAGGGGTATCTCAATCCACAAGGTTTACTCCCTCTGATACTCTGCGACAATTTCCAATCAAATTGGTCTAAGTCTGTTCAGAGCTATCTGCTGATAATAGGTTTCCCCCCCCCAGGTGCTCTTATCTTTTGGAACAGACCAAGCAAAAATATTAGTTAAGCAGAGAACTGAGGAT